ATGAGAGGTGGGAGGGAAAGGGAGTGAGAAGGGAAATCGCATGGAAATGGAAGGCGATCCTCAGGGTTATACAAAATGATATATAAGAGAAAAGGAGGGGTAAGACAAGATCATATAAATGGAAGAAATGATTTACAGTAGAAGGGGTAGAGAGAGAAAAGGGGAGGGGAGAGAAGGGGAGGGGAGATAGTAGAGAATAGGACTAACAGCAGAATACATCAGACACTAGAAAGGCAATATGTCAATCAATGGAAGGGTAACTGATGTGATACAGCAATCTGTATACGGGGTAAAGTTGGGAGTTCATAACCCGCTTGAATCAAACTGTGAAATATGATGTATTAAGAACTGTGTAATGTTTTGAACGACCAACAATAAAAATAAATAAATAAATAAATAAATAAATAAAATTAAAATATTTATTTTTTAGGTGCTAGACACAATATGTTTATTTTATTTATATGTGGTGCTGAGGATCGAAGCCAGGGCCTCACACATGCTAGGCAGGCGCTCTACCACTGAGCCACAACCTCAGCCCCAAGTCAATATGTTTTTTGATCTCAATTTCTCATTTGTGAACGGACTAGACGAGTGGTTCTAAAGTTGTAAAGTTCTGCCAGGTGACATCCTAATATTTCTTACAAATTCTATTTACGCTTCTATAGGAGCTTTCTGGGGTTAGAATACATATAAAAGCTCCCATTCCATTAAACGCAACTCTATTGTTTTTTAAAGGTAAGATCTAATAAATAGGCCTTACCATAAAAAAAGTTTTAAAAAACACAATACTTGAGAAAAAAATAAATGATTAAAAATATTTTTAAAATTAAATTCAATATACATATAGTAGAAATGTAGATATTAGTTAAATATAAGACAAGGTCTTAGACCTCAAAGAACAAATTACCTCAAAGTTTCAGTTCTTATGCACAAATACATTAACTCATAATTTTATGAACTACAAATTTTTACTGAATGTAATTACATTTACCTCTAAGTTCTGCCAGTGTATCAAATTTTACTAACATTTGATAGAAAAATGGCAAATGACAGTCAGTGACTAATGTTTATAGTTGCCATAATTTATCAGAGTAGGAAACATTCACAGTCACAAAGCAAACTTGAATTGCATTTTGATTTCCATAGGGTATGCATTTTAATGTCATGAATGAGTATGAAATATTTTGTCAATTATATATGCTGCATACACAATCCAGGGCTGCAGAACATTTTGGTCAATGATGGACCATATATATGACAGTGGTCCCAGAAGATCAAAATGGAGTTGAAGAATTCCTATTGCCTAATATTTTTACTATGCCTTTTATATGTTTCGATATATAAATCTTTATTTTGTATTACAATTGCCTACAACACTTAGTACAGTAATGTGTTGTATAACTTTACAGTCTAGGAATAACAGCTTATACATATACCTTAGGTATGTAATAGGACATAGCATCAAGGTTTGTGTAAGTACACACTATGATGTTTGTATAATGACAAAATCACCAAACAACACACTTTTCAGAATACCCCCATCATTAAGTGACATGTGACAGCATCTAAGGAATTATTATTAAAACATTAATTTTTTCAAATCATTTAATAAGTTCTAAAATATTATTGTTTCACCATCAACTCAAAATACCTTATAGACAGTATCTATAAAGCGCAAGTCATTCTTTGCTATCAGCTCTACGTTGGATTCCATCAGAAGTTCTGTTACATAAGGTGAGTATGAAGTAAGAGAATAGCTGATGATGGGCAAAGAAGCTGCTGTGTCTCCCTTTACCAAACTGTTAGAAGAAAAAAAGGAAACAGATTTTAATGAGCATAATTCTGAAAGCTCAATGATCAAGGTAGAATTAAAAATCTTGTAAATAATTTGTGAGCCATGATACAATTAGGTCATACATGACCCTCCAGATTCTATCTCCCATTCTAAACCACTCTAGCATGAAACACTGTTATTCATGGTTCATCTACTTAAAAACTTACTTTAGCTCTTTAGCACCAACAGTCTATTTACTATAGTATTTTGTGGGGAGGCACTCTGAATGATTTGTGTCTTCCATCCTGGAGCAGAGAGGCATTGACATCTTGTAGTGACCTGGACATTGCTCCTGGTCCAGGAAGTTAAGGGCATGTCTTCAGACACAGGCATGTCGCTCCATGGCCCCTTGGATCAAATTACACTCACCTGTCCTTTGTAACCCTGTCCCTTCTGAACTTTTCTGGATGGAACTTTCTAAGAATAAGGGTCCCTGCAATAAAAGCCCACTATTGAATGTGCTTGCTCTCTCTCGCCAGCCTTGCATGACTTTTTATTGCTCTCCTATTTGAGGAGCCTGAGGCTGAGAGTGGAGAAGCCATCCTGAAGCTTGTTTAAAGGTAAAGTGTGTATCTGTGTTTTATTTGGTGTACCAGGGAATTCACACCAGTGACCTTAAGTTCAGCTGCCTTCGTGGGTTGGGGGCAGCAGTATTTATTGATTTTCCAGAGCTTAGTCTTACCAGATTGACTTCATTTTCTAACACTTCACAGTGCTCAACAACACATGGTGGTTTTGCAAACACTTGTTACATTACCTTATTTGTTTTCTACACAAACTTACAAAAGTAAATATTATGAATTATAAGTTACAAATAAGGAAAAAAGGACTAGAAAGAGTATACGCTATAATTAGGCAAGCTGTTTACAACATTCCACTTTTTGCTCAGTTGAAATCTATACCTTATTAGTTTCCCACAACAAAGCATATGATTTTTCTCTTTTGTATTTCTTTTTGAGTAAAGCAATATTTTACTCAAAGAGGAAATTGCTCTGGCAACCTTCTCTATCTGAAATATAGTCCAAAAATAAAATGAAAGAAATACTGTTGAACAGCAAATGTGTTCATTTTATTCACTTTATGAACAGATAACAGCCAAGATTACATTAAACACATCTTATGCTAATTTCAATGACTTTGGTTATTCAGCTTCTAAGGACTTAGCAGATTAGAAACAGTAAGGAAAAAAAGGATAATACAAATCAGTAGTATATCAACACAAAAAACAGTTCATGATAGGAAATTTTTTAAAAAATTTTACAGAAAAGATAGAAAGAATCAAATTATGTAGGGGAGTGTTATATGTGTATTTGTATATGTGTGGTTGTGAGAAGGAAACAATCTGAGTCTCTGTGGAAGAAGCAACCTCTCTTAATAGACCTTGCCAATATCACCATGTTTGGGAATAATCTAAAAAGTATTGTTCTTAATGATGCTCATGGTTCAATAAAAAAAAATTGTTTAAACACTGTTGCTATGGATATAAGGTGTTCTCCAAAAGCTCCCCTGTTCATGCAGGTATGTTTGGAAGTGAAATGATTGTGAGAGCTGTAACCTAATCAGTCCATCCAGGCTTGAATGAACTGATGGTTAATTACAGGCAGGTAGGGCATGGCTGCAGGAGGTAAGTCACTGGGGGCATGGCCTGGAAGGGTGCATCTTCCCTGTGGCCCATTAGCCACTTCCTCTCTGCTTCCCGAACACCTCTATGAGCTGAGCAGCTTTCCTCTGTTGAACCCTTCTATCATCTGCTTTGCCTTGCACCAAGCACAGAATTCAGCCCACCACTGAGCTATAATACCATGAGCCAAAATTAAGTTTTTCTCCTTTAAATTGTTCTTGTCAAGTATTTTTGTCATAGCAATAAAAAGCTAACTAAAACTACTGTAGAAAGAACACAGGTCAGTATTGGTATATTTTCAATTATTCCTACCTAAAATGTCTTAAAATGATGCTCAAAAATAATAAGAAAAAAACCTGTGTACTCAAACTGGTTAAGTCTTTACAAATTCTGGATATTTGAGATTTTCTTATTTTCAGAAGCCAAGATGACTGCTAAAACTATGGATTACATTTGTTTCATACCTTTGTTTCTTACAAAGTAATAGTAATTAAACTTTCTCCTTATTCTCACTATCCTTTTTACTTACAGCCTCCTCTTGGGATTAGTCCTCCCTAGTGTATAATTAGAATATCCATTCTCCTATGTAAAGCTCATTACTTGAGGATTCTACTTAGTCGTTAGTTTAATTCCACTACTTGAATATATACCTAACCTGGACTTATCTCTTGATACTCTTCCACTCGATAAATGTCTATCAACTAACCAACTCCTACTATATGCCAGGTACAATTCTAAATGTAGAGTTTCTGCAATGAACAAAACAAAAATCTCAGACTTTAGCTTCCATTCTACTGGGAGAAATATTTAATCAATCAATCAACCAATGATAATAGGTAAGAATATGTGCTATGAAAAAACAGATGAATTAAATATAAAAAAATATAATGATTATCACATCAGATGGGCATTTATAAAGGAGAATGTATGTTGCTATATTCTACAAAAAAAAGCAGCAATATCTCTGCTTATTTTGAATATATTAAAAAATAAGAAATATGATTCAACTGAATGAGTAGTAGATTATAACTAATAAAATCAGTTTGTCATATTTCTATAAATTTAAAAGTTATAGAGAAATAATACTTTATACTAGTGTATAATGAACTTATATAAATAGTATCTTAATTCTCTTGGGTTGGAATTTCTCACTAATCAATACTTATATACAAACTTCTAAAATGTCCTTTCTCAAATATTTTAAATATTTCAAAGGAAATTTAAATAGGATAAAATCTTTGTTTTTATTTAGGTGTTCCCTCTAAATTATTAGCAAAATAATACAAATAAGTTTGATATTATAACTTACCCTACACAGTCCACTTCTTCAGGATAATTTAGCAAGCGAAGCACTTGTTCTAGGTTCCGTAAGCTTCTTTTTAAGTCACCTGTTGCCATTATTTAACATTAGATTCAGCTCCAACTCTTGAAAGAATCTAATTTATCACATAAAAATAAAAATCCAGGAAAGAGTGGTTAAGTCAGTTTACGTTTTGAAATTTCTCTACTCTTCCTTGTTCATCTCTCTCATGGGCACTTGCTATGTTGATTTTATCCCAGCTCTATTTCTACTTTTTTTATTGATTGTTCAAAACATTACAGAGCTCATGATATATCATCTTTCATACATCTGACTCAATTGGGTTTTGAACTCCCATTTCTACCCCAAATACAGATTGCAGAATCACATCTGTTACATACTCACATTTTTACATAATGGCATATTAGCTATTATCTTTCCTACCTGTCAAGTACTTACTGACTTGTATCTACTATAAATTCTAGAATGTGTAGTGAGCTTCTTTCCTACCACCCATTATCTTTCCCTTGCAAAAAAGTTTGCTTTATGTTCATGTTCTTACAACGGATTTCATATGACATTCTCCCAAATATTTTTGCTTTGAACAATAAAGTAGAATTTGGAAAGACACAGCAAGTTAAAATGGCCTCTATCAGTGACTATTTTAGATACTTACATAAGATTTACATGATGCAAAGGGATAAAGAAGGACACTTCATACTGCTCAAGGGAACCATACACCAACAAGACATAACAATCATAAATATATATGCCCCAAATAATGGTGCGGCTGTGTTCATCAAGCAAACTCTCCTCAAGTTCAAGAGTCTAATAGACCACCATACAATAATCATGGGAGACTTCAACACACCTC